GCGCCCCGGCCCTTTTGGAGTCCTGGAGCTAGGCTTCCCCTGCCCAGACTTTCCTGGAAGTTGTTTATGGGGTTCGTTTCTTGCCCCCTGCAACTTCCCTTGCGCTGGGAACGGGGGCAGGCCGCGCTTATCGAACTTGGTGGGCTCACGTGTTGGTTTCCCAATTGTTGGCGATTGTTTAGACTGTTGAAAGGCCTTTAAATTAGCCACCTCTGCACACGTTGCGCCCGGAACTGCGTTGCGCCGTACAGTGCCGAGGTTTAACACACAGCCTTTGATAATGCACTCAAGGTTGACTCACAGGCCAAATCCTGCCCAGTTCAACTGTGATTAAAAGTTAATGTTGGGGAAGCGATGACTAATTCTAGGATCGCCATTGCTTTTTAATTCTTACCGAGGATGTGAACAAGGCTTTTTTGTTTTTTAACCACATAAACAACGTTCGACTCTTTTTTCAACTTAATAGCGAAGCGAAACTTTATCATGAAAATGTGAACATTCTAGTAGTTTTTGTTTGTTTTTTTAGGAAGGGTTTTGTAGGTGTTTTTGTTTCTGCTTTTTTAAAAAAAAGAAACGTTGCTCTCGGCTAAACTGCAGCGTCGGAACTTTGCCCAAAAGTTAATTGGTTTTCCAAATCCTGTAGGGTAGTTAGTCCACTAGGGCTGTAACTTGAGTGGAAAGAAGCATTATACTCCGCTCTTCCCCCACCCCCCTTATTTCTAGGCCTGCAGTCTAGTCCTGTGTGCATACTCTGGGAGTTTGGAACTCAAAAACTCAACCCACTGATAGAAACTCAAGTTAAAGAAGAGGAAGGGGCAAAAAAACAATTAGTTGCTTGCTAAACACTGAATTTGTAAGAGGCAGGCTTAGGTGTGCCTTTTGCCTCTCTTAACCTTGGAGGGGAGCTGCTGGCCTCACCTGGGTAAAGTGTGTTGGCATGTATCCTAGAGAGTCCACTGTATTGCTGTGTCCTTATTGTAAGTATGATGCACATAGGAGACTGAATTCCCCATCATTTGGCATCCATAAAACCAAAAAGAATTGCAACTGAAAAGTGCACTTAGCCTTTTAACAAGTATTGACACGAGATTTTATTTCAAGCAGCTTATGAGCAGTCTTCCTTCGCCATAAGAATTTTAAAAATTCTAACTTAAAAAAAAATCAAATCTTAATTCTAATTACACACATAACTCACTGCCATCGAGTCAATTCTGACTCAGTTTTGAATAGTATGAATCTGTGTTGCTAGTACTATTGTTCACAAACTATTGCATGCAGATTCTTCTAAGAGTATATGCATCATATATCCAGACCTGGAGTCACTTCCTACTCCTCATGGGATCCAGTGGTTTACAGTATAATGGCCCTGTGGGGTTTCCGAGGCTGAGTTTTGCAGAAGGGGACTGCCCTGTGTTATAACCTTGGACTTTTTGGTTATTAGCAGCTGAGCATTTAACCACCGTGTCACCAGTACTCATACATCATCTATACTTCTTGCATTTTTTTCATCATAAAAAAAAATCCAAACCAATTGTACAGTTGGGAAAACTGAGGCTCACAGAGAGTTCAGTGTCCTGGAATTTGGGAATGCCCCTTTATACTGCTTTAAACTTTTAGAAATTAGATTTCAAAATTTAGTGTTTTCTCTTTTAGGAGTATTCCATTCTTACTTGCCCACTTGCTCACTCAGTCATGTGCCAACTCCTAGCGAGTCTATAGGATCAGCCCTGGGAGTTTCCAAGACTACCTGTTGATAGAACCCACCTCCGTCCCCATTCTTTGCTAGTTTCCTTCAAAAGATGAAGACACCTGTCGAATGTGTAGTAGGTAGAAATTCACTTAGACTATTTCCTCAAACTAGATGTAAAAAGGTGTATTAGTGCAAAATCACATACACCATTGAAAAGTTTACATTTGCCAAACTTACTCAGTGTCAGATATGCAGTGTTGACATCTGCTTTTGGTTCTTAGATACTTGGTTGCAATGAAATGCGCTCTAGGAAATTTAAAACTCTTCAAAGTTGGGACCATTTTTTAAAAATTTCTTTTCATTTTAATATTTCTAACAGGTCAGTACTGATGCTGGAACTGCAGGGGCGCTGGCTCCACAGCACGTCCGAGCGCATTCCTCTCCGGCGTCCCTGCAGCTGGGAGCTGTGTCTCCTGGGACTCTGAGCCCCACGGGGGTAGTGTCTGGGCCAGCAGCTGCGCCCTCTGCTCAGCATCTTCGGCAGTCTTCTTTCGAGATACCTGACGATGTACCTCTGCCAGCAGGCTGGGAAATGGCGAAGACATCATCTGGTCAGAGATACTTCTTAAAGTAAGTGAAAATGGTGGTGGGGATAGCATTTTGTAATAAAAGGTGTATTTTGGGTGCCAAGCATATGCAAGCTATTTATTTTTAGAATTTACTTAATATTTAGGTCAAGCTGCGCGCGTGTGCGTGTGTGTGTGTGTGTGTGTGTGTGTGTGTGTGTGTGTGTGTGCACATGCATTGGGCTGCTATCTGCAAGGTCAATTAGTTCAGAGCCACAAATCCCTCTGAGGGAGGGAGAAAGATGGGCTTTCTACGCCCGTAACCAGTTTCTGAAACTCAAGGGGCACTTCCACCCTGCCCTATAGTGTCTCTATGAGGCAGCTTGGACTAGTTGCGGGGGGGTGGGAATATGAATGTATATGATTTAACTTTGATAATATTTTGAAGATTTGATGGAACATGGTTCTGAGAATTTTTACTTTTCTTTTGTGGCAGTTTGATTATTTAGAGTTTATGCCAAACCTATTTAATTAGCACAAAACTGAATTCAAGAATATCATGAAAATTTTCAAATTGTGAGAATTACAGGATTGACATAGTTTTATGAAATGTGTGGCAATGCTAATATCTCTCACAATAAAGCATTTTATCCATAGAGAAGAATTACAAAAATACACTAGTTTTGTGGTTTTTTAAATTGAAAAATGGCAAACACGTTAGTTACAGGTTCTTTGGTGATTTATCAATTAAAAATTAACAGACCTAAGCAGTTTCAAGTGTACAGGAAAATTGATCAAAAAAAGAGGCGATTGAATACTTTATTTCATCAACCCTTTTTTATTTTAAGAAATAAAATTGTATTAAAACTGAAGAGCTCTAAATAGAATTTTATTCTCTCATTTTGAAATCATAGAAAAGAGCTTAATGTTTTGATCTAGCTTGTTTGGATCGATCAAGTATTTGCAAAATGTTGCCTAAAATCAATTATTACTGTCTGAAAGTCATCCAATCCAGGCTTTTTGATTGAGATCTGTTTTGACAATCTGTTCCTTATAAAAATTAATGAAATTGTTTTTTACCGGGTGTATTATTACTTTGTAAGATACCAAGTTTCATGACAGGCTTATTGTTTTGGGCAAAGAACAAGGAGAAAAGCTTGATCCTCAATTGTTTCTACAGGTTTTTAGCCTCTTCCTATCATCTTGTCCCCCCTCCTTTTAAAAGTCATTTTCTGGTGTCCTGGTATCCATTTCAAAGGGTCAGGTTTCAACCAGAACAATAAAGGACCTGAGACTGGAAAGTACACACCAGTCTGGCAAACTCATCTGCATGAGCAGGATCGTTTGTTCTGGAGCAGACATCCAAAGTAAATGATTGCAAGAGCTGCTCGCTGGGCGGGACGGGATGTCTTGAAGGGGGAAGGAGGGGAAACAGACCAGGTTGTTAGGAGGGAAAAGAAAGGCTGTACTTTTTTTGAACCTCACCCTGCTGGGTCACGTGCTGACCTGAGGAGATTTGTAAACTGCTTAATAGCCTCGCCTTCAGCTTTCTGTGCTCCGGAGTGTGCCTAAAAGTGTACGTTTTAAAGAACAACATATATGCTCTTGATTTGAGCCTCTTAGGTCTTGCTTATAGATGACACTTGTCTGCCTTTCAGGATTTTGGATAAGTGAACTGTTTGCACTGAAATAAAATCTATGTATTTGTTATCTAGACTTTTCTGATTTTGAGAATAAATGTTCCTCCTAAAGGTCTTGATAGAGACGAATTAATGAAAACTGTACACACACATCATCATACACACACCTTGTAGGCTTGTGAACCAAGCCCCAAACTAAACTCACTGCCGTTGAATCTATTCCGAGTCATAGTGACTGTAGGACACGGAGAACTACGTAGCCCTGTGGGTTTCCGAGAGTCTAACTCTTTACCGGAGAAGAAAGCCGCCTCTTTCTCCCTAGGAGGAGTGAGTGCTGGTTTCCAACTGCTGACCTTCAAGATTAACATTCCAACTCAACCGCTGTACCACAGGCTCCAGGTGGAGTATAAGGTTCGAAGAACATGTGTCTGCTTTATGATCAGTGTCCAATGTGGAGAAAAGTGATAAAATAAGATTCGTGATAATAGCTTTCTCCAATTGTCCTTTAATACTGTTCTAGTCCGTTATCAGGGCTGAATGGGCTGCCACACGTAGCACATTTCTGCCCTTTGCACAAATGTTGTGTGCTGTCAAGTTGAAACGGGCTCACATCAACCCCAAGGGACAGTAGAACTGCGACATACGCCTTTTCCTTGGTTGAAATCTTTATAGAAGCCGGTTACCAGCTTTCCCCCTCTTGACCCACTGGATGAGTTCACTTTACTCCCCACCCCCATCACGTTGATTCTGACTCATAGTGACCCTTTAGAAAGCCCCTATGGGTTTCACAGACTAACTTTACAGAAGTAGAAACCTGCCTCTTTCTCTCTTAGAGAGACTGACAATTTCAAACTACTGACCTTGAGGTTAGCAGCCCAGCACATAACCACTGCCAAACTCTTGAGTTTGCGGCCAAGTGCTTAATCATTGTGCCTCCAAAACCAAACCCAACCCACTGCCATTGAGCCCGTGCTGACTCCTGGCGACCCCTGTGGGTTTCTGAGACTGCAACTGTTCACAGGAGTGGAAAACCCAGTCTTTCTCCCTCGGAGCTGATGGTGGTTTCGAACTGCCGACCATGCACTTCGCAGCCCAATGCATAATCACCACACCACCAGGACTCCTAGGGCTTCCTTAAGTGAGAATAATATCTCCTGTGAGTCTTAAGATTTTGGAGCCATGTTGCTATTGGCAAAGCTGTTTTTTATCATGCTTTTAATGTTTTCAAGCCAGGCTGCCTATGAAACCAATATTTCTACATTTTTCTCTTCTGTCTAACGATTACTCCTGTTGCCAGCCAAATCTAGTTTGCAAACTTACACCCCTTTCAATAGTGAGAAATTAACACACACACACACACACACACACACACACACCTTGGTGGATACTTATTGGAACTATTAAATGACAACTGGTGTAATTTATTTAGCATGAAGAAATCTGACTTTGTGTATAGCCCAAACATGCCAGATGATGTCCTTACATTGACCACTTAGAAATGCTGACTTTGGAAACAACTAATTGTTGCCTCGCAGCCATCGATGATGTAGATGCTGAATGAAGTCCTGTGGCCCACTCCCTGGCTTTAAGACCGCATAATGACTGAAGGCTTTTAGGCAGGTATTTTTGAAATCTCTACCGAGCTCAGTGGAGGAGGAATCCTGATGACACAATGGTCAAGCACTCATTTTGGCAGTTCAGTCCACTGCTCTGAGGGAGAAAGACTGAAAAGCTGCTGTGAGAATGGCAGCGCAGCCAACCCAGTGCTGTGCTTCTGCTTTGGTCAGGTGGGGTTGCTAGGGATCAAAGCAGCACAGCAGCCGCTGAACAGCAACACCTAGCTCAGGGGAGAGCTCTTTGTCTCTGCTGTTGTCATGCATGTGGATGAATGGTCTCTGATTGATTCCAGCTCACAGCAAACCTGTAGGACAGGGCAGAACTGCACAGGAGCGTGTTCCAGACTGTAAATGTTGATGGAGACACAGCTTTGCTCCCCGAAGCTGGCAGTAACTGGTGGGCTTGAACCATTGACCTTTTGGTTTGCAGCCAGCACTTTAACTGTTGGTTGTACCACTAGGGCTCCTTGGGTGTATAAAACTAGCTATATTTTATCAATGGGACTTATTTCAAGTTGTGGGATGAATGTGATGTTAAAAAAAGAAAAGGGGGGCTTAGTTTGTATACTACATGGAACTTACAGAATTTTCTTTTTGAGATGAATTTCTTCAACATTCTACAATGGGCTTTATTTTAAAAGAATTCATTATCTTTACTACCATGAGAATAACTGCTTTCTTCAGCTGTCTTAATACTTTTTCTACAGGAAATAGTTCTTCAAGTAGTTGGTCAACAACTTCCTATTTCGTTATAAGCTGCTGAATAACTTCCTGAATTCGTTTTCTATAACATCTCTGGTTAAAAGGAATATTTTTACTTATCAGATTTGTTTTATTGAGTCCAGTATTTTATAACTGTTATCATATACAAAGAACTTCTTTTGTATATTATGTTATGTAGGACCTTAGATCTGCTTTAAAAAATATTTGTAGGTTTGCTTTATTTTAATAACATGCTTCTAATTTTAAAAAAATAGTTTTGTTTCATTTGAGATATTTATCATTTTCTAAATAAATAACTAGCTAGCTAGCCACAGTAGTTTTTAGTTTTATTTATTTGTTTGATCCTTGAAGGAACAACATTTCTTGTGATCATGAATTTATTTTAAAAGTTAAACTAAAAAAAATAGTTAAACTATCTTGGTTCACAATGAAAAAAAAAGATTTTTGTTTTTTTTCCATTTCTTGAGCATTTTCAACATTAAATTAACTTGCCTATGAGTTCTAACTCATCTCGCTAACAAGATTGATGCCTTGTCTATTACATAGTAAATTTCAGAAATGCATGCTTTACCTTCATAACTAAAGCTCCCTAAGAAATGTACCAATTAAAGGATCTGATTAAATGGTTTCTTGTTATAATTTAACTTTAGGCTTCCCTACCTAATCACTTGCCCAGTAGAATACTAAACATATACAATGTGTTGTTACTTCAATAAAAATCAGATGTTTCCGAAAGAAATAATTCCCTAAACAATAAGCGTATTGTTTGGCCAAGAATGGTTTCTTGCTATACCAACTTTAACCCAAATAAATTCCCTTTAAAAATGAAAAAGCTGTATTTTTTTCAAAGGTAGTTATTGATTTTATTCATTTAGTTTTTTGCGATTTGGGTGAAAGTTTGCGGAACAAATTGCTTTTCCGTTCAACATTTCATAGACATTTCTCTTAATTTTTTTCATGATGAAGTAGGTGAAGGTTTACAGAGCAGATCATCCGTTTTACATTGATTCATACACAGTGCTTCATCTGATTCATTGTAATCCCTCAGTGTAACACCTCTCATCTCCCTGCTTCTTGTCTTCATT